CAAATGTGTATTTGAATTGTAATTCATCTGCACCTATCTCGATCTGGGCTGATTCCATTTCGGTCAATAATTTGGATAAAATTGTCATTAGGTTTAACCTGAATGTGCAGTAAAAAACTATTGAGAATCAGGATTTTTTTTAAACAATTTTGAACCTTTAAAATGAACAAAAAAGCACTTGGTTTTGATTTTTTGCATATTTATTTATTTTTGGTATTTTTGTAGTTCGATGGGTTTAAATAAAAAAAAATCATAAAATTTTGGAATATATGCCGTTGTACTTACAATTCATTCAAAACTGTATTGGGTGTATCAATTAATTTTTACCGTTTTTTGGGTGAAAATGTAAGTTTATGTATTGCCCATCGTTAGCTATGACTTCCGCCCATCTTCTTGGTAGCTTGTCGATTCCGCGTCGAAAGAATTCCTCCAGGCTATCCACTCATCGATCCATTTTCGCACTTCTTCAGCATTTCGAAACGATATCTCGGACAAGCCCATTTGCATCGATCGGAACAAGTGGTAATCAGAAGGAGCAAGGTCTGGAGAGTACGCCGGTTGATCAAGCCGATCTCAACCGAAGTCTTCTATCTTTGGTTTAACGATGTGTGCAACATGTGGCTTGGCATTGTAATCGTGAAACATAACATTATTTTGTTTGCTCGCTATCAGAGGCCGTTTAATCTTCAATGCATGCTTCATTTTGATTAATTGCATGCGGTAGCGTTGGGCTGTAACCGTTTCACCTGGTTTTAGCAGCTCATAATACACGACACCTTTCTGATCCCACCAAATACACAGCATAACCTTCTGGCAATGAATGTCTCGTTTTGGCTGTGAAGGCCCTGGTTGGCCTGGATCAACATACGCTGCTTTACGTTTGGGGTTGTCGTAATAGACCCACTTTTTATCGCCAGTAACAATTCGATACAAAAAACTATGTTTTTTGTGCCCGGAAAGATTTTTTTTGCATGCTTCGATACGTGCTTTGAGTTGATTTTCGTTCAGTTGATGTGGGACCGATTTTCCTAGCTTTCGAATCTTTCTCATTGCATGTAAACGTTCATAAATGGTTGATTGAGAGACAATTTAATTCCAATGCAAGTTGGTTTTGCGTTCGGGCTGAGTTTGATACACCCGATATTTTTTCATAAAATAGCGCAATAAAAAATAGGGGAAGTGGGGGGCAGACTGATACACATTTTTTCGATCGAAAATATTTTGGCCAATTGGAAAATTTTGAAAAACCTTTGAAAAATCTCTGCATCATTTGGCTATTTCATTGTTGCACAAATTACGCCATGAGCCAAAAGTTTGAAGTGATAAAATTGGGGGCACGATGATCATAGCTTCTGAGCAGGGGTCCGAGAGGTTGGATTACCTCCCCTAGAGAAGAGATTTGTGAATTACCCCTTTACAAATTGAGAGAATTATTCTTTCTATTTGCTAGGGATTTTGGCCTTTTTTCAGCTCTTCACTTTCTGAAGTGGGAGAAAATATTAAATTTTACTAGGGTTGTTGTTGGCAAAAAGGAGAATCTTTCAATTTGCTAAGGTTTTTTGGCGAAGAGAAAAATCTTTCAATTTGCTAGGGTTTTTGAGCCAAATGCTTTGAGACAGCCCCCCCCCCCAAGAAGGAAGAAATCAAAAAATCCATTTTTAGTTTTTAGATTTTGGAATATTTTGAAATTACCCCCATTGGATCGTCAAATTCAGAAGCTATGACGATGATACACATTAATTTTGTCACTTTCATACGTGATTTCTTTTCTTCTTTGTTTATTTTTGCGTGTGCCATTTAAAATTCACAATTGTTTTTCGTCATTAAATGCTATTTTGATCTTTTTTCGATTTGATTTTGACTTATTGTTTGGCAAAAAATGAAAAAAGTTGAAGAAAATGTTAATGATAAAGCCGTATTTACTTGAACGGATTGTCCGTGTAATAAGCTTATTAATCTCAGTTTGAGCCTGGACATAAAAAAGAGTAGAAGAAAACATTTTGGCGAATGAATAGTGATCTTCTTTTTCTAGGGATTTTCTTTGGAAAAGTGTCGACCATTTGTTTTCACTCTTCACTTTAGTTAAATTTAGTCCCCAGTTTGTGTTTAACCCTCGATCTGCAGCAGCTACAGGGCACTTGAACTTCTGACGAGTTACACCGAATAAATGTTATTAACTACCCTAAAAAAGTTTTTTTTCTTCAGCAGTCACCTTATCAGCCACAACAAAAAGAGGCCCTCACTTAAACTTCAAAGAAAATTCTGAATGAAGCGTTGCAATATGTTTGTTGTGCATTGTGCAGTTAAAAAACGTTTTAAAATCTCGAACGCGCGCACGTCAGCGCACATACACACGCACATAACAACCTAAATGTAACTTGGTTTGTTAACTGGTTGGATGTTGGCTTGCTGCATATGTTAAAGTCGATTGCTCAATTATTCACGTATTTGATCTAATGTAACCATCTCTTTGGATTTTACCATCAAATCGTTTACCGTGCCAATCATAAACACATTGCAGGCAATATGCATATTGAGATACAGAGAGAGAGAGAGAGAGAGAGAGAGAGAGAGAGAGATCGTGTATACATAGGATTCAAATTTGTCAAGCATACCATCACTCAGCTGCAAGATTACGTTACATAGTGACAGAGAAGAAAACATGCTTTCGGCCTATGCTTTATCGACGCTATTATTGTAGCTCGATATCAGTTCTTGAGTGCGAAGACGAGACAGAAATAAATCGCGAATGCAACCAATGAACGAAAAAAGAAACATACCGAGGTATCGAGCATTTAAATGAAGTCATAAAATCAAAAGACAAGCTAAAGCATCGTAGAATGAAAGAATGTGCAATTATCCCGAAATTCATGAGGTTGCAAAAAAGAAAACCAGAAAGAAGCATATGAAAAAGATACATTTGTTTTGAAATTAATCAACAATCAAAAGTTGCAAAGCAAGAACGTGGTGATGAAATTAAGAGCATAAAACATTTTTTAAAAAAACCAATATAGCCTTATTAAAACACGATCATGAGACTAGATGCGGCTGCCTCTGTTGTTGTCCAATGTACGAAAAAAAAGATGAAAAAATTTCTTCTTAAAGAGTGTTAAAACATGAGCAATTTGTTTACTATTGTTTAGCTGTGCTCAGGTCTCGCTTTCCTTATCCTTGTCCCCCTCTCCGTCGCACTTTGTATCGTCGACGACGATGACGACAATGACAAAAAGAAAATACTCAACGACGGTAACAACAGTAGTTTTGTCGACGCGATAATCTCGACATTGCACATCAAAAAAAGGCAGCCAAGTATTCTCCGGGTAAGCGTGTGTGTGTGTGATTACAACATGCAATATGGATTGTTGCAGTGGATGAGAATTTTACATACACCGGCACACACACGAAGGTATGTTTCTTTATTTTGGGAAGCTGTCGTAATTTCCATTCAATAGGCACGGAAAATATGTGTAATGACTCGCGTCTTGGCGACCCGTAGCGTGTTAGTTACAATCGATCAAGCTTCCATCATAATAATGCCCGCCATTTCTCTTGTCTATTGTACAATATTTTCTGCTGCTGTATTTGTCCTCCCCATCGGTATCGTCGGCGACGACAACGACGACAGCAGCAGCAGCAGCAGCCATCCCTGTCTGTTTTACCGTTTGGCACAACTTTTCCCTATTCTACAATGTAAATGCATATGTAGGTGTGTGTGCTCTTGATTTCGTGTGTTTGCCACTATAGACTTGTCTGGAAATACCACTTGACACGTTTCTTTCATTTAAAATTCACAGACTGGATTGCTTAAAATGCCGCATAATATTGTCTTCCTTCCCATATGTAAATCGCAGAATAGAAACAACAACTATAAAATGAAGAAAAAGACGACGAAAAGTGTAGAAAAACGAATCACACGATTTGCGGAACCATTTTTTGAAGTAGCCTTGTGCGCTTTCTTTTTCATCTCTTTCCACTTTGATGGCTTCTTGTATAATTTACAGTTGTCTAATCCAACATAGTCTTTGACTCACTGCGAGCGCAAAAGAAAATTATTACACTATTCAAATGCAAAAAAAAAACACAACACAGTAATTTTTCTTATTTCTCTTTCTCTGAATGAATGAATCAACAGTGAATAAAACAATATTTTCATTATTATTATGATAAACTTCAATGAAAAACATTTTAAAATTCAAGCAAATGCTTTTTCGTGCTTGCACAGCTCAAAGCCGATAAAAGTGGCTCATCATCCTGTTCGCGCTGCTCAGATTCCTGAAGTTCGGGCGGCAAATGCAGTTTTTCGATGACAAATCGCTTACGACGCAACTTGAATGCTAAATCATAGGTTTCAGGTGTATGAGCAGTCAGTGCATTTAATGCGGTCATTTTTCGAATGAAGAATAGTCCATTGTATTCTTTGAAGCAGGGATTTGTTTCTTTGTCTGAGCCGGCAAACGATTCCAATTCAATTGCATAGTCAACTAAATTGCGCACCCGATGAACTAACGACTGATCCTGCGGCGATGGAAAAATTAATAACAATAGACAATTAAATATGCATAATTTTCTATACACTTTTTTGATTCAGTGCCACTTACAATGTACTTGAACAAATGCGTTGGCATAGTAATACAACAAACTGAAAGCGACATTCTAACGGTCGCTCTTAAAATCGTCAAAAATAAGCAAATGTCTTCGGAAAAATGATCATTGTACCAAATTGGCGATCCAAATGATTCGATGCAAATGCGCAAAAGATTTTTCTTTGATGAAGGCGCCATCTGACTACTTGTGCCGAATGTCGATTGGCTAAGTTTTTCTTGTAACTTTTGAATAAGTGACGTGTAGGATGGATTATAGAAAATTGAATTTTCTGTCGAAACAGAGGCTGACACTTGTGCCTCCTTTAATCCGAATAATGTGATGTCTAAAGAGTCCAAGGCACCATTGTCCACCGATTGTGATAAATCAAATGTGTACAAATTATTTCCATCTTTCTGACTACCAGCCCCTTGTTCCGAATCCACTTTATCCAAATTATTGTATCGCCACGCGATTCGCATTTCATCATTTTCAGTATTGGGAGTTGGTTTTGGAGTAGCCGACGACGATGATGATGACTTTTCGGGTACCATTGGTGGCAATTTCTTTATCTGTATAATAGAAAAAAAAAACAATAGTATTGCCTACATTTTTCTCTTCGATTGTCAAGGAATACCGTACCGTGTCATGTGGTTCATTGTCAAAATTCGTTAGAAACAATGCATTCTTATGAACGGTGCCTTCGGCCAAGAATAATTTTGTCAAATATTTGGCATACCGACCAATTTTATCTTCTTCAATCAATACAATTGAACCTATTGGCAAGCCACCGCCTGTACATCAGCCAAATGGAAATAAGTGAATAATAAAAATAATAAAATGTTGATTAACGCATATGACTTTGATTCGTTATCTGATTTTTTTCATACCCAAAACATGGTCTAAGGCCGGATTACCAGTTGATACAAGCTGTTGACCTGTATGGAGTGACTGCTTACCACCAGGCAACAATGGAGTTGTACGTCTTTTTTGAAAACTACTCATTTTCAAGAATAAAAATAACCTTTTCAAATGATTCTAACCAATGTTTTTGTTTACTGAGCTAATGTAGAAAATTTGACGTTTAAGCTTATGTTAATAGCTGTCAAATTGGATTTCGAATTACGTAAACGACGACAATGACGCCATTATTTTTTACTACTTATTCTTGTCTTTGTTCAAACAAAATTGAACGTTACGAAGAAAACGAATTATAAATCAAATGAAATTCTATTATTTGAAATTGACGAAATCTGGAGGAAACTGGGAAGAATTTTTTACCTTTTTGCAGAGAAAGAATTTTTTTTCGTTATTATTAATTCACCTTAAACATCGGTTGTAAGTGGGACAATAGATTGATTTTAAAACATCGGCGTGCCGAAATCATGCTTCCGCCCACTCGTTCCGAGAGTTATTGCACCTACCTAATGAAGCAAAATTATAATTTCTTATCTCAGAAAGAATATTCTGCTTACCGGTACGATTCAATTTTGTTTGAAGAGCTACGGTTCTTAGAATAAATGCATTAAATTGATTGAATGATTGAAATGAGAAATTATCTTTTTATATTTTAACAATATGATATTTATTTTCATAATTTGTAAGTCAAAATTAAGTTAATTTGTTTTGTTTCATTTGACTCAACAGTTGAACTCTATTTAAAACGAAGCAAAAAAGAGAATTATTTCAATTGCATAAATATGAACGTTTGATAATTGCTTCAAAACCCATCATCCCAATGTTAGATGACGGATTGGTATTCAAAAATTCTAAATTTGTTTTCTATTTCATTAAATGTCTAAATTGAGAATTATTTCATAAGCATATAATTCGTTAGCCACTTTTGATAAAATAACATTTTTGGGTGCTTGGCTTGCGGATAGTTTGCTAATATTTTGTTGCTTCTCGTTGATTGAGATTTTGATTATTATTTTTTTCACTGTGAATATGAAAAGGTCCCTGCCCTCTGTACGTGTGTTTCTTTGTATTTTGAGAATCGATGTTTTGTTCTTCATATTTCAGAATGTGTACTCCATTCTTTTAAATGTCATTTGTCAGCTGAATGAACGTGTGCTCGTACAAAGTAAAAAAAAAACCCACTTAATTCGTTCTCCTTTTGTATTTTGTTTTATCTTCATTTTTTCTCATAAAAACTAATAAATAAAGTGTAGATCATGGTTATTCAATGAAAACTGAATTAATTTGTGCTCATTTCTTTTTGTTTCAATTCATACAAAAAAGTTCGCTTTACAATAGGAAAATATAGTTAAATAGATTTCTATTTGTTTACAAATTTAGAAATATAATATAATGCGTGTATTCATTTAAATGTATGTCTGCTCAATCACACAATTTCTAATTTCATTAAATTGAATTATTATTTGTTCTATTCAATGCATTTTGTATTGACAGTCAACGGGTTTTTTGTTGTTGTTTTTCGATGCGATTTTTATATCTTTCTATTTGCACCTGCATTTTGAGATTGCAACATATTTATTTCTATTACAAAAAAAAATCCCTCTGTTTCCGAGTCTTATTGTACTGTGCACAACATATTATTAGATGCGATATTAGAATTTTAAAAAAATGAAACCCTAGAAAAAAGAATAATAAAACAATTATGATAGCTTCAAGACATATTACTCCTTTTTGCGTTCAGCTTTTTTTGTTCCTAATAATTGTTTTAGCACCGGTTTGTATATGGGCCATGAAAACCACAAAATATATCCATAGAACCAGAGCGAACGATGCAATGCCCACCATCTATGGAAGCTGAGCAACACTAATGGTCCAAAACAGAAGCCCATACCAATGAATGTGTACAATTTTAATAATATAAAGATTATCACTTTGCCGGCCAATGTATTTGCGAATTTTTGGAATTGTTCACTTCGCGCAAAAACTGGTTCCATCTGAGGAGAAATTAAAAAAATGAGCTGATTAATAAAGAAATATTTACAACAATAACTATTTCAGACATGAAATCCATATGGTAAATTTATATTATAACCGTGAATGAAAACACATCAAAACTAGGAGAAAAATGCTGATAATGCTATTTGACTTTTTGTTTCTTGTAATGTTTTTAATTTTTGTTGCTTACTTGGCCTACTTTAGTTGAGTATTTTATTTTCATTTTTTGCATTTTTTTTCTGCTCTTTCGATGTGTTTGCATAATTTCGAATAGTAGAATAATAAAAAAATGATGAAAATTATTATATTGATTGAAATCCAAATATCTTTGAAGTGACAAACAAAAATGTACAAATTCTTGATTTGAATTTCAGCCAAATTCATAATTCTACCACATAAAAATGTCATTACCTCTCGTTCGCAAATGATAACTGCAAATTCCATGGCAAATGTAATATAGTATCCGGAATGGAATCCATGCCAAATTGCTAAGAAAACTAATGCGCCCAATTGGCTATAATTGCGATTGCCCAAAAAGCGTAATCGTTTGTAAACATATTCGGCAATCCAGTGGTTGGTTTGCACATTAAAACTGTCGATATAATGTTGGAAACGTCTTGTATTCTCAAACACTAGCAATTTTATGTTGGAACATCCGGACCAATCGGCAACGCCATTCTCATCGACACCGTTGAATGTGATTCCTATTTGAAATATAGTTTAATAGTTCGTTTCAATTCAGAAACATAAAACAGAGCTTTTGTACTAGCTGTTGACTTACCAAAGCAAATGGCAACCGATTCGGTGAGCAACCAACAGGATATATACTTGTATAAAGTAATTCGTGCCCATAGAGCGACCAAAAAGAGTCGTGCCACGATTCCATGGTCGTTAGTAAAGTCACTTGACATCACATACTTGTCATTCAAATAGACTGAACCAACAACGTTCACAATTAAGTAACACATTCCAACGGCGGCCCGTTTTGCGCCGGCCATAAAATAACCATCATGCTTATCAAATTCCTTATTAATAAAGCTGAGATATCGTTGAAACGAAAATTGTGGTCCAACTAAAAAGCTGGCCGGAAAATAAGTAAATGCGGCAACTTCGAGTAGGCTCGGTTTTTCTTTGACCAATAATTTTTTCTGTGTGGCCGATAGTTCGGTGTCATTTCGTTGACCATCGGCAATATTAAATGCCAATCCAATCAAACGCAATGTTAGCACACAATGTGGCATTGTCCATGTAATGTCATACGTTTCAGTTGCTGTTTTATAATAACCAATCATCAAATAGGTCATGTTAAAGAGAAATGTGGTTGCAACCAATGTCGTTCCATTGAATAGAACGATAAGCGCATACGACACTAAAACAGCTGACAAACTGTGATACATTAACCAACCATAATTGAATAAACATATTAAAATGCCCGTTGTCAGTATGTACAGGTGATTTATTGTTTTTGTTTGTGTGTAAAATTTCTTTCGATAGAGTACTGCCAATGGATAACCTGAAATCGAAACAACAACACAAATAAAGCATTTCAAAAGAATGGAAAATATGAAGTTCAAATATAAAAAGTAAATGGAGAATGAAAGCCGGTACGTTGTGATGATTGTCGTCGTTATCATTATCATTCCGGTGTTCGATGAAAGACATACGACATAGAAAAAAAAACTGTGCACAAGTTTGTTTGGTCACCATACAATCTAGAGAGTGTTCATAAAACGTTACTATATATAGCGTATTTTTTTTGTTAAGTGGCGTGTAAGTGCTGATGCTTTTAGTTTTAGCCTATGTCTATATTTGACATTGTAAAAAGAGCACAGTGTTGCCATATGACCATATCATGACCCGGCACTTTATAATAGTTTTGGTTTATGTTATATTTATGATAAATGCAAGTAATCGTAATTTACATACGTTTGTAATCAGTGAAACAAATACATATACATTTGAAATGAACACGTAATTGAACGTACGATTTTACATTTTTTTTTCACATGATAGCTATTTAATCACTTGTAGAGTGTGAGAATGAATAAAAAAAATAAACATGTAATTTGGTCATGATATGGAAAAAATTTAAGAAAATGAAGCGCACGCGATATGAGCCCAAAGAAAAAAGTGCGAGCGCACCTAAAACAAACACACTATATGTATGGGGACGACCAGAACAGAATAGAATACAATGACAATAGAAAACTGAAATGTTTTTCGTTTCAAGGCCACCGAAAATTATGTGCATAATATTTATTCAACAAACGTGCCATTCAATCAAGTCAAGGAGATTATTATAATTTTTCTTGTCCGTTTCACCAAAAATTCAAATTTCGGATGCACACATGATTTCGAATAATTTAAAAAAGAGAGTTTTCATCAATATTGCGATTAGAAAATAAAAATAGACGTCTTACCGACTAATATCGAGATCAATAGTCGAAGCGCTGGTTCGGTAGCTCCAACCGATTGTGCCATCCGACCCAAAATTGTGTCCGCTGCCATTTTTACAAATCTTTTGCACTAATTTTAAATTATTATTATTTTTTTCTGAAAATCAAACAAAAAATTCATATGAAAATGTTTTTTTTTTTTTTTGAAAAACTTTTGCAAATGTATAAAAAAAATCATTCAACACACAGACACACATACACAATACTCGACTGATTTGTTACAATTGACCGCTGATCCCAACCACTATTCAATTCATTCTGACTGCTCGAAATCAATTTACGTAATTATTTATATATTAAGAGCGTGGTAATAAAAAAAAGAGTATCATGTGTGTAATCGGCCGAGCGATTAGATTAAAAATCACACGTTACACTCTCTATTTAATTTCAAATCTCTCTATTTAATTTCGTGATAATAAGGTTCATTGATCGCTTTGCCAATTATAGTGCTGGTAAATTGATAACGACAAAATAACGTATCTTTCTCTTTTTTTTCAAAATGTAAAATTGCTCGATTTGGTCAGTTGCTGTTGCGGCGTGTATGAATGAAAAGTGCACAACAAATGTCAAGTGAACATGTATTTATATGTATTTATGTGTATAAACACATAAATCGATGAAAGATGTTCAATATCATATGATGCAGTGCACACAAAAATTCACAAAATCATTTACACCATGGTTGCACTTTTCTTCTCTTTTTTTTTTGCTTTCTCTTTCTTTCAATTTTTTTGGGCGCTAATTTTACGTACTCGGATTTTTATAGTGTACAGCTATTTTGGTTTTCTACGTTAAGTGATGCGCAATGCGACTAATTCTCCGTCAACAATTCTTTAGTCTGCATATTTTTTTTTGGTAATATTCTATGTTGTTTTCATTCGTCTATATATTTATTCATTAGCTCACTTCTTGTTTGCGATGATTCAATGAGTATTTCTCTTTTCGACGACATTTGAAATGTCATGTTAGTGTTGCCACCGGGTAACCGTTCAAAAACAATCAATGTGCGTGCAGCATGTGTCGTTTGTATGCAGCATGTATTTCAATGTTGCCAGAATTATCCGTTTCATTTAAGCTTGTTATGGACGCGCGAGCTTTCAAAATTTACCAACTGAAGTAAATGCAAACTTCGAACAAAAAAAAACGTAAAAGTTTTGCATCTTTCGACCGGCTATCAAATTCAAATTGGCATCGTAAAATATGATTTTTTTATGGGATTCTTTGTATTTTCATCTCAATAAGAAGCGGATATAGATACCGCATTTAATCATTACAATTTCGAATAAATAAATTGAGAATCAACGCTCCTTTTCATCATCATCAGGGATTTCATTTCGTTTTGATCGATAGATTTTTGATAAGATCGATTTGATATTTGAAAACAAGTCAAAAAACAAATAATTAAAATGATCGCTTCATCGTCGAATTTTATGTTTAATCTCAACACAATGTCCAATTAGGCATCACCGGAAATAGCATCAGATTAGAATAGAACTAAAACCGAAATGCAATGAATTGTGGAAGTATGGCAATGGACTTAAATGCCGTTGAATGTAGCCAAGCAAACAATTCGGATGCTTAAATGAGTATTGCTGATATTCTTATCTATGGAAATATGCAAATTGGTATTTTTTCATCGTCTCTTCTGCCAATACAAAAATGTTAATAAAAAGATCTGCAAACAAGAATGCGAACATCGGAATCGAATGAACAAAAGAGGGAGACGTTGCAATTCATTTACATGGTAAAATATCAAGTAAAGAAGAAGAAAAAAAACTGTATTTGAATGTCAAATCGTGCTAAAATTAACACTACGAAATATCGAGAGTCAAATTTTTGGTGTTTTTCTCTCTTTTTCTTCTTATTAAAAGTGCAGTCGCCAGCATAAATTCAGAATCGAAAAGAGTTTGTATATGACAATGTAATAAAATGGCCTAATTTAATGCATATCGATATATATGCATATATATATGTGTGTTTGTGGACATGATGAAGAATATTAATATTCATAACAATAATAATAAATGGAATATCAATAAAAAAAAAGCAAATGGCATATACACATTATGAGGAATGATCGATTTGAAAGTCGTGCTATAATTCAAGGTGTTTAGAGAGTGTCTGTGTGTCTATTGTTGATTGTCGCTAAAAATTGTACGATCGTTTTGAAATCGAAGAGAGCAGCGAGTTTGAAGAAAAAAAAAATCAAGCGGATAAAATGGATCGTTGCCGTTGTTGACATGGTAATTCGATATATTTGAGTCCGTTTGTGCTACAGTTCGGTCATTCATTCGAATTGAAGTGGTTTGTGTGGGCTGTTCACGCAGAAGAAACAGGAACAATTTTTTTTTCTGGCAAATATATCGAAAAAATATTTCTTTTTTTTGTACAGTGTAAAATGAATATGTGATGTGGTTTCTTGTGGTCTTTGACATTTTAGTGAAGATTGTCGCAAGAAGTAGAGAGACGAAACGCCGCATACTATCACATTCGCAATACAGTTGGTTTTTTTAGTACGTGCGAGCAAGCTTGTGATGGATATTCATGATGTCATTCTCCTTCCTTTTGCGGACATTTACTTTACGCGGGTCTTTTTTTCGCTTATAAATTCAAAATATACACCGACACATACACAAAATCGTATATCACATCGCGTATTTGACGACTGGAAATGCAAACTGTCTGCTAGTGACGGTGAATCGTTGTTGTTGTATTTTTTCGGTAACAATTAATTCACAGATTAAATCGCATCGTCGTTGTACACATGTCTATACAAAACAAAGACATTCGTATTATCGCTTCACATAATTACCGTCGTCAAGTAGTAATTGCCATTTGCCACACTCTTACAGTATCATATGCATGTCATTCGCAAAAAAATAATGATTTGTGTAAAAACTGAAGCAGAAAAAGAATGAAATAAAAAAAAACAACGACACAGACACCACACCATTGCGTTTTCTACGAAATCGTCCAAAAACAGAAATATGTGTAGATAATTTATTTATTTTGTACCAAATACACTCATATGCAAGCCATTTCCACGGCGCACCATTCCATTTCATTCAAAGTGTTATTATATTGTTGATATTCGGTATGTTGTTGTTATTTCTTTCCTTTTGCTGCTGCTGCTGCTATTTTTTGGGTCTTCATTTATATTTTTCTTGCATTTGCAAATAACGAATCTACATGTGGTTGTAAGCTTGTGAGTATATGGATCGCTGTGTATATCTCTTTACCAGAACATATAAATGCAATGGCTCTCTTTCTCTCTCTCTCTCTCTCGATTCAATACATATATATATATATATATATATATATATTCACACTTTGTCGTTTTGCTTATTGAGTAAAGTTTTTTTTTATTCATTTCTTTGGCGTATGGTTTTTAATCGTCGTCGATGCTTTTTTTTTTGCGTTTTTGATGCTTTTTTCGTCGTCGACGACAAATGTATTCGAATATGCCATACACACCTTTTTAAATATGTATAAGATAGTTTCGTCAAGGTCGTGATGTTCAAATAAGACCCGAAAACGCAAAGTGCGAAATTCCATTTTGTTGCAAGTTTTTGATCAATGCACTGCCTTTTTTGATTTCGTGAATTCTATCAACAATTTTTTTAATTTTATTCGGTATTTTATTATTCATTTATTTTGATTTCGGATTTCTGACTGAAGCTTAAAAAAAGAATTTTTTGGCATTTTTTTGGTGCAGTATTTTTGAGGATTAAAAGATTTTTTCTCCTTCGGGAGATCATTGATTGTATTTAAAAATGAGTGATAACGATTGAAATTGAAAGGAGCAAGATAGAGAGAGAGAGGGGGGAGAAACGAGAAGAGTTACCAGTTGAAATTTGAATCACGGCCAAGGTCAAATAAACGTTCTCAACCTCCAGTTCAAAAACGAGACTGTTGATTATGCATCGCCAAAAACAAATTTTCGACATGATCTCGATGGAAATGACAATCAATAAAATAAGGAATGTGCCTTGAAGACGCAAGGGATCTCACATGGATTACTCATGAAGAGTTCGGTGTTAATTTGAATCGCAAAGTCCGCACGCTAAGTTTGCCAGCGTGTCGATGGAGCATGCGTACGCAGTGCACACAGTGTCTGTATCATTGAATAGTGTAGACAAATTTTTTTTCTTGATCGTTGTGTTTCTTTCACTCAACAGATCAAGCTGCTGCTCTTTACATTACGTTGCAAATGGGAGGGCGCAAATTATAAACAAATTTTAACGGTCTCAAGTCATTTTCTATCGTGTTTGTTTCAGTGATTCGACAGATGTGATATACATTAATTCAAAAAAAAATATATTACTTGACATTATTTCGATTCATTGCAATATTTCGACATTATATTGTGTTAGATACAGCAAAAATTGACGAAAAAAAATCGCACATATTTCGGAGAGGTCGATACAGTTCAATGATTTACACAAACGATTGTAATTTATGGACATTTTGTATGAAATGTCTTTGAATTCACGACAATCATAATTGCTGGTGTTGCTGCTGCCGCTGCTGCCGCTGCTGCAATTGGCCCTTGAATATTTAGCCTCTCTTTGGCTTTGTCTGTTTATTAATATGAATTATTTTGGATTTATGCTTGTATGCATTTATTCACATTGCAGTCAGACATAGCCTTATAGAGGTTAGGCAATTGAGGGTAATTCAACAACCATCATCAACGGCTCAACACCTTCACCACCGCATCAATTAATCATTTGTCCAATGCACCAAATCAATTCAATCACATTTCTATATGTTTATAATTGACTCGGTTCCATTTTTTCAACGCTAAAAATTATTTACAAAAAGACCTTATCGTTTCCGTAACCGGTATTATCATCTTCGCAATTTGGCTAAAAAAGAATTCAACAGAATTATCAGAAGGAATGCAGATGTATATATTATATATAAATAAAATTCATCCAGTTATTCCGGTTATTCAGTCGCACTTGAACATTTTCTGCAAGAATAAAATTTAATGAAATGCTACAACGAACACAAAGTTCGACGTATTTCTGAAAATATTCAACCAATGATTTGATCATCAACGAATTAATGATTATTAGATAAAAGATGAAATATTCATTATTTCAACTAAATTCCGACTTATTTTTTATGTACAGTGGGCATATGAAATGCTCGCGTTTAAATACAATTTTATTATTTCGTGTTAGCTTAAGCTAACTTATTTCTAATTCTAAATAAAAAAAAACTCTGTTGGCTATGTTCATGCAGTCTTCGGAATAGATTTAATTTTTAAAAGAATTGAAAACATTTTATTTTTTTGTATATATTTTTCTCCGTTTAAAATTAAAAGTTTTCGATGCATTTTAAAGGTAATTTTAATTTCTAGTCTCTCAAATACGAAATTCGAGAAATTACCATGCAAATGAATATTGTTTTGATTTTGAGCAATTTGTCAAATCAATACAATGTGATTTGTTCTATAGAATTCCAGAAATTGTTTTTGTACCATATATATATATTTTAAATATCACCTTACTAATGTTAATTTTTATGGCTTTATTACTTTGTCAATATTCAGTTGATAATTGATCAGCGACTAAGAGTAATAAAAATGTGATAAGAAATGTTACCAAATTCGAGCATGCATGTGGCAACTGTTGATTTCACACTGAATTTTCTAATTAAATGAAAAAAACCGCACAATCGTATTTAACAGCAACAAACAGTCGTTAATTACTTCAATGATTGAATTGATAGTAAATAACATGCAAAGCATTAAAACGCATGAGCATTAGGTTTGACCGATAGATAAACGGGTGAAATGCATTCCATCGAAACAAGTGCAATACAGAAAATGTTAACAAAGTCCAATTGGTTACATGTACAAAATCCAATGTCAAATTGCTGATTCATATTCAGAGCGTTCATACTGGTTTTTGTATTTGGAACGATTTCAAAAATTTTCATATATATCATGTGTGATTATGTGCGCAAAACTACTGAATATCCCAAATTTGGATAGCGGTACAGATTTAATTTGCATTCAATTAATTCGAAGATAATTAAATGTAAAGAAAAACATTGCGTTCATTTTTTTCTTCTATAAAAAAATTCATATTGTTTTTTATATTCATCCATTCAATTATTGAACGTTTCATTTTCATAAGTATAAACTCTACACAAACTATGGCAACACCAAAATGCTGTCATTGTGCTAAATATCGAGAAATGTTTCGATGTCAAAAGACCCGGCAACAATACGGTTTCATTCAACATTCATTTCTGTGTTCAATGTGTTTAACAACTGTGTTACAGAATATCTTGCGCTGTGTAAAAAGTGAAAAACAAAAAAATGTCGAATCAAACAAATCAAAAAAAGTCAAAGCTAACCGAAAAGACGATTGAATCTTTCCAAATAAATTATATAAATGAATATTCACAATTATTTGAGCAAAATTCCGAATTGAAAATCGAAAATGAAAATTTACGCAGCACAGTGAAGGAGCAATCATTGGCTTTGATTGATGCTAAGCAAAAAAACAGCGATTATTTAAGTGAAATTTCTCGGCTTAAAGCCCTTTTGAGCATTCAAACCGGCCAGGAAACAAGTGAAAATGTGGATGTAAATACTGTGGAACAGCCATTGACGATTGTAAACAAACCATTGTATATTGCTGTTGATCGTTGAATCTGTGTATGTGCCCGTAATGAGCGTGTATTCGATTTGAATGTGGGCCTCCTTCATGTAAATTGCACGAACACATATCCATTAAATCGATAATTGCGTAGTTGATGTGCATGTGCAAAATGGTACATTCAATACGAGACCTATGTGCCCCCAATTTCAATATTTAAATACAGATTGGAGATACACGTTTCAATATTTAAAGCTGAACTTGAAATATTACTGATTAAACGTATTTTTGTATGTTTTACGAGTTTGTGGTCGAAAGTTGTTTTTTGTTACTTTCAAAAGTTTAGTATCGCTTTTGCACAACAATAAATTCCCTAAAAAAAAACACAGAATTTCTCTGTTTCTCTCCGTTTGAAAGAATCCATTTTTGTAATATGGAAGAAAGGTCACACTCCAACTACTAGTAATTTAGTCACCGAAGGAACAGATTCCCAGGTTTTAAGAGCTCGTGATCGTTTATATCGTCGAATTTCTGGTCATCGCGAACATTCTAATTCACCTACGCGATCACCAAGAAATCGAAGTCCTGCCGCGACACGAGAAGAAGTTGAGACATTGAAACAAGTTATATCGAACGATCCGCCTTGGCCATAACTTCGCTTTGTTGCTTAAATCTTCAATCAGATGAATTTTACTTTGTAAGCGATTCATTGCTATTGATGTCACGTTTGGTCGAGAGTTTCCAACATGATCCAACCCGATCGCAACAATTATTGGTTGTAACGCCATCGATACCACTATAATCATCGATATATCATATCAGGCTATTCGTCAGTTTTCGCCACTAGCTAATCATCAATCGGAAACCAATCAGAGTCAGATATAATGCAAAGTAAGGGGTTTTTAGCATTTTATTTGAATCAACAGGAATTCTATTGTTACTAATGCTATTGTTACTGATTAGCATCATTCATGTAATTGAATTTTTGTGATAGGTAATGCAAGCATTTTGGTTCAACAATATACTGTTTACTATCGTAAAGTTGAGGAAGAATCAAATCAACACGCGCATAATCAACCCAGTGGTAGTAGTTCAAGTAATGCCGTTGGTGGTACATCGATCAGTACGCGAGCATCATCGTCCTCTTCGTCATCGTCTTGAAAACACTCAGAGAAATCGTCATCAAAATCATCACGCAAGAAGTCTGAATATTGGACCGATGGCATTCAACAAGTTGTTTCGCCAATTCAAATTTTTTTAACGAATTTACTGCCCAAAGATATATTAATCTCTCAAGATGCATCTTTGGATGCTTTGTGCATGTTACGTGTTGTGCATACATTGAAATGACACTGGGAATCGAAATGACACTGGGAATCACTTTACAATGCCAACTTTACACATGAAGACAATATTCCCGCATCTGAATTCATTCACTCGGTCTCTTCCCAATGCAAAATAGTCATAGTGCCAAACAAATACAAATCTCACGCATCAAATCAAAATTCAAATTCTTGGGTAAATTTATGGCTAAGACAATCATGGATAGTCGAATGGTATGTTACAATTTAGCTCGCCCACAACACAAATTTGCAGATTCAAAGTTCTCTAACCATGTTCTCTTTAAATTTATAGTTAGATCTACCATTTTCAATCCCGTTCTATCGATGGTTGTTATATGAAGACATTTCACTTGGACTGGCCGATTTATCGTCGGTGGCACTAGAAGTTCAAGTCTCATTGAAACGCTTGCAGAGTATTGTACGTGAAATCCATCTATGAATTAAGAAACCAAAAATTTCAAGGTATATTTCAATGCATTCCTTCGTACACGGACCGTTGTAACATTGCTTTTGGTTTCCTCTTTTTTTTTCAAATAACAGATTGAAAGTTCATATTATGATGGCTGTCCAATTGCCGATATGGGTTTGAACTTCACACTTCTAGGTCATGCAACCATTGAACTCCGTCGTGGTAGTCGAGATACTGCAGTCAATATTCATAGTTTGCACCAATATGTCGCTTTAGTGACCCATTAGCTCTTAGTCGAAGGTATACAAACACAAAACATTGATAAACAATTTTATTAATCTCACCGTTCATTATTTAATGCTGTGGAATGTTTCCATTGTTAAATAGGATTTGATTCGGTGTTCCAATCACAACGATTGCGTCTCTTCTATCCCGAAGAAATTCAAAAGGTGCTGTGCGGCTCAAGTTTGAAAAACTATCATCGTTTGGATGTAAAAATGTTGTAAGATTGCTGTTGTACCGACCATGGATTCACGCCCGAATCGAAGACCATTCAGTATTTGTATGAAATACTAAGCACATACAATCGCGAAGAACAACGTTTATTCTTGCAATTTGTCACCGGTTCAAAGTGTTTACCGACTGGCGGTTTCAGGCATACAATCCACCATTGACCATCGTACGCAAAAAACTCGATCCAAATGAGAATCCAGACGAATATTTGCCATCAGTCATGACATGTGTAAACTACTAATATCCGAGTCGCAAAGCAATTCGTGGAAAATTCAAAACGACACTTTTTTGACATTTGTCTTAAATTTAACCATTTGCTGAACAGAAAGAAAACTAATTCAGATTTGTTCTTTCAATCAATCAGATTTGTTCTTTCAATCAAAAGTTGTCAAATGAAGAGAACCAAATATGTCAATATGATCCCATGAAAAAACGATCTGTGATTTGCCGTTTGTAAAGCATTTTCTGTATCATCAATGTGAGAAAATCTAACAAAAATGAATATCAAGTAAAATCAAAATTGAAAGACAAAATATAACATACATAAATATTGGAATGAAATGAAAAGAATGATCATGTTAAAATTACCTAATCAAGTAATTTTTTGTATTTTGAGAAATGACAAAAAAAGAAGAATGAATTTCAATGTTCAGTCTAAACTAGTTAAGTGAAGACAAGAAAAAATGAATTTAAGAGGGAATGTCACCGAAATAAATTCACATCAAATTAATTGAAATTATCTAAAGAAGACCCAATTTGAAACCGTTTCTGTGAAGGCAAAAATATTATGAAAAATTATGAAGTTTTTTGATTATAAAACTACCATAAATAAATGAACATTCAAAAAATAAACCAATCGAATCGAAAACCATTATCTAAGCAGTAAAAAAGTGGTTTTGCACACATAATCACACATGATATATATGAACTGGGTAAGGTTCAAATTCAAAATTGTTTCATTTTCAGAGTGCGTTCATTATTTCTTTATTTTATATATGATGAAGGCGATCATTGTACTTTATCGTATTCTTGGCGGCCGAAGAGTTCTTTCATTTCGATATGAATGTTCTGTTGCCAAAAAAGGCGCATGAAAAAAAATACGAATTATTGGTTCTTTTAATAGATTGCACACACCACCTGAGAACACCGACACCGAATTGTTGTGAATCATCCGTTCGTTTGTTTGACGCACCCATGGCAATGACAATTCAAATTGCTTTCTCAATTTGACGTTTCACGGCTATGTGCATTCATACCAATAAATGCGAAAATTTCAGCATTTTCATTGTTTATTCTTTAATTTTGTTTGAAAAATAAAATAAAATAACCAAAAAAAAAATGATATAAAAATTGTCATAAACGTTTGTGGTGCCAAATCAAAGTCAAAGTACAAAAAATAGCATAAGCACTTGAACTGATAAAACGAACGTCTGCGATAAGAAATAATCGAATTGAATCGTATACAAAATCAACAACCGAATCGAGAACTTTGTTCAAAACTCTGTTATAGCTCCAGTTGAGCAAATTTTTGATCAAAAATGTCATCCAACGCATTCAATGCAATAACACGACAAATAAATTGTTTATTTGGCAACAAGGAACCATGGCAGGTGGCATCGATTACAGCTATATCGCTAATGACCGTCATATGGCTTTTGGAGCAAATTGACCACGATGAAAGTAAGTAGAACTCAATCCAGCTACCCTTGGTTCTGATTTACATCGCTTATGTTTGGTTTTAGGTATAAGCTCACGAGCGAAAAACAAGTTCTTTAAGCTAATGCGGTTGTTGCCGCAAGTACAACGTAAAATCGATACTGAAGTATCGAAGGTATCCGCTGGAATGGAAAAATCCGTTCAAGATCGAACCGCTCACATGGAATACTATTCGACATTACCATTGCTTGGACTATCCAATGAAGAGTTGCTAGAAGAGGTGGATAAATATTTGTCGCTCGGCGAATATAAATGGAAAGAAGGCCGGGTTTCTGGTGCCGTTTACAATTTTAATGAACAACTATGCGAATTGATGTCAATAGTCTATCAGAAAACTGCATACACAAATCCATTACATGCGGACATTTTTCCCGGCATCAATAAAATGGAAGCCGAAGTTGTACGAATGTGCGCTACAATGTTCAATGGCGACGAAAACACCGTGGGAACGGTAAGAATGTGTTTATTTTTTTTTTTAATTCGTATGAGATATTCAAAAGCAGACTATTGAAATTTATGAGAAATGTTCCGGTTTTCAGATGACCACCGGTGGCACAGAGTCATTGATTATGGCATGCAAAGCGTATCGTGATTATGCCCGTGAAGTTAAAGGAATTTACAAGGCAAATATTGTGATGCCCCGTACTGCACATGCCGGTTTCGATAAAGCCGCACAGTATTTCAACATTCACATCAATTACGCGGACATTGATCCAATTACAACCAAAGTGAATATGAAGCAAATGGCCGCGAAGATAAACAAAAACACAATCATGGTATGTACTTATTGTTTCAGCACACAAAAATCAAAATAGATATAAAACATTTCGTCTTTTTTTTTGCATTTGCTTGCGTAGTTGATTGGCTCAGCACCAAATTTCCCGTATGGAACCATGGATGACATCCAAGCAATTGCTGCATTGGGGCTAAAATATAAAATCCCTGTACATGTCGATGCATGTTTGGGTGGATTCTTAATTCCATTCATGAAACGAGCCGGATATCCATTGCCACCATTTGATTTTCGTGTTAAAGGTGTCACAAGCATATCAGCCGATCCACATAAGGTACACAATATTGACGTTTTTCACTTGGATAAACGAAGAACATGGAATTCTTTCATGTTATAAAAATTTCTGGGTTATGAATTCCATTTGGTCTTTTACATCCAATCGTTCTGAAGATGAATTTTATGTCGGTGCATTCATGTATTCAACAATAGAAAATCGTTGATTCATTTTCATTGAAATTTTGAAATTTTCAGTATGGATTCACTCCAAAGGGGTGCAGCATTATATTGTATTCGGACAAAAAGTATCGTCATCATCAATACACAATGACAACCGATTGGCCGGGCGGTGTTTATGGATCGCCAACGGTGAATGGATCACGTGCTGGTGGTTCGATAGCTGCATGTTGGGCAACAATGCTTCATTTTGGTATTGATGGTTATGTAGAGGCGACAAAACGTGTCATCGACACAACACGTTACATCGAACGTCATTTGCGACAAATCAAAGGCATTTTTATTTTTGGCACACCAGCCACGTCTGTAATTGCACTTGGCTCACGTGAATTTGACATTTTTCGTTTGACCGATGCAATGTGTTCATTTGGTTGGAATTTAAACACACTTCAATTTCCGTCCGGGTAAGATGATGAAAGAATTTTATAATATTTTCAACAAATAAAATTTGAGAACAATCTCAAAAATTCGCTCAATTACAGAATTCACATTTGCGTGACAATGCTGCATACAATGGATGGCATGGCTGATAAGTTTATCAAAGATATTAAAGCAGCTGTTGGTGAAATCATGAAAAATCCAGGAAAACCCGTCGAAGGAAAGGTATTTATTCAAATTAAAAAAAAAAGCACAATTTGCAAAATGAACATCATTTGAGTAAAAACGAACAATTATTTTCATTAGATGGCGTTGTATGGCCAGGCACAAACTCTATCTGATCGATCACTAGTTGCAGACATCACACGTTGCTTCATCGATTCAATGTATTATACACCGGGGGCCGCTATCAAAAATGGCAAATGATCCAAACTGTACCTTCCATTAATCAGGTCTACTTAAGGCGGATTAGCATTTTTTTTCTTCCTCACTGTGTTTGTTTTGACATATACACATGGTGTGTGAAAAAGCAATTTGGTGCCATTTCCGACCAATCAAATTGGTTGCATTGAAACTGTTATAGCTTTTTTGTATTAGAGAGACCTATTTAATATTGCAAATAGTCCATATTTTATGTAATGATCAAAGAGAATTGTGCTTATCTTAAAGATGCATTTATATATTTACATGAAAATTGATGTCTAACAGTTACAGAATTAAAAAGAATTATTGAAATATATTGATGTATTATTAGAGAAAAAGAGTAATAAACTATTTATGATTTGTTAGAAATACTTGATGACAACGTATGTGAAAGCTTAATTATTGCTCATTTTATATGTCGATTGACAGGCGCATTTAATGAACCTACTGTTATAATTACTGTCTGTGAAATACATTGTTTTTGTACAAAAAAAAAAAAACATTCTGCACGATATGTGTAATTATTTTGTCACCATATCTCTTTGTATAAAATATGTCAATAATGTCTATATATCAGTCTATTATAGACTCTTTATATCCATGAAATTTTCTATAAACTGAACATTTTAATATTTAATGATATCAGGTATAACCTCCTTTGTAATACATGCAATTAGAGATTGAAACCATCGAACGAAATTACAAACAAAAGGAGGAGACAAACACGAATAAACATGAAACAATGTCCTGGAAAAAAATCTTTGCCCCATGAGAATCATAAACGAAATTTGAAAAACTGCATTTATTCAAAATTAGTTCAGTATTTCACAGCAAAAAAACGCGATATAAAAAAATGAAGCAATCAAAGCGAAAGTCAAATATTTCAACGTTCATGACGTGTTTAATTAAAACAATCAATGAGTATTTTAGTGTATCAAGTATAACCGGCCTGAAGTATGTGCAGAGTGAACACGCCACACTTGCAATTAAGTAAAAATTCAAATATTTTATTGGGTTTTGTTTTTTCTCTTCAAACTTTCTAAAGTTGGAAGTTTGTTTCCAATTTATTATTTTAATCCAAATAACTCCTTTTGATTTGAGTTTTTCTTTGATAATTTCTTCTTTTTTTTGAAGAATATTTTGGTGTTTGGTGCTGATTGTGAGTTTCATTTTCTGTAATATATTGGTTGCTCACTTTTGGTTGCGTTACAAGAGTAATTCCACCAGAATGGTTGTTGCTTCCAATCACCTACCGTTACCAACAGCACCCTTGCCAGCGCTTACAATTTGTCCTATCGGTCATACTCATCCAAATCGTCTAGCTGCTTTCATTTCTGAAATGTAAGTACAGCACCTTTTTTCGCAACTATTATGGTTCCCTTCAACGTTTTAAATTCTTCTTAGAAATTATGATTCGAAGGAATATTCGGCTGAGAGTTTAAAGCGTATGTTCAAGCAATCATCTGGATTTTTTGAGACGATGACATACAATGTCAGTGAATTAACAATAGTACAAAATCTCATCGATATGAATCAATATACAGTGCGTCGTGTAATGGATACCATACAGAATACATGCAATGACATATTTGTGCGATGTCGTTTCGAAGGATTCGCTTTTAACTGTTCAAATTTATTTAAAGCGGTAACCAGTCAATATGGTAACTGTTGTACATTCAATGGATATCGAGATTTTAAGTGAGTTTTTTGAACAAAATGTCCAGCAATTGAATGTGCTTATTGGAAAGAACCAATTTTTTTTCTTTTTTTTTTTTCAAATTAAAAGTACAACATTGTCCCCAAACGGAAGAACATCCATATCATTATTACTTCGATCCAATGACGAGACATTCATCTCTTCGGAAAGAATACGGTTTTTTATATACGAAGCAAACACATCGGCCAGCATAGCTGTATTCGAAAGCATGTTGTCACACGAAACCGAGACATTTGTGGACATAGCGCCGGAGATTAATATGTGTTCGAATGCAGTTGGTCAAACACCAATCGATCAACGAAATTGCTTATACGAAGGAGAAAAACAATTGAAGTATGACACTGAGTTTTGTCCAAGTTGAAGTTTTTGTTTTGACAAAAATATGAATTTGTTTTTAATTTTGATTGGTCACAAAGTGAAGATTGCCGCAAGATGTTTGGCTCTATGGTTGAGTTTTGTTCATTGGACTTTAATTGTTATTTTAGATACTTCTCCAGATACAGAGAGTCAAGCTGCAGACTCGAATGCATTTTGAAAAAAATGGTACGGGCGTGTCAGTGCTTACCATATTATTATGCAATGTATTCAAGAACGACGAAAGTTTGCGACTTTACAGACATTAAATGTTTGGTCGATAAATACTGTAAGTAATTTATAAATATTCAATATCACTTTTTGGCCAAAATTGTTTCTAATGAAAACAAATTGATCTAATTGAAGTGTTTTTATACAATTTCACGAGTTTCGTTTAAAATTAGCACTTGATGTATAGATGCATGACCTCACATTTACGTTTGTAAAGATGGCACTATAACAATTGTAAACAAATTGAATTGGACGGACTGTGGTTGGATATAAATGAATGATTTGAATCAATAAACATTGTCAATAGTGCACAAAGTCACCTTTTTTTGATAAAACTTAAAGAATCTTCTGTAAAGGAGTAAAATTAAGAATTTCTTCATATTCAGGGTCAACGTACCACCAACAAAAAAATGAAACAAAAGACTGTGAATGCATGGCAAATTGTATGGAAATAACTTATCATGCTTTTATGAGTCAAACACGTTTGCAGCCGAATTATTTTGAAGTTGGATCTTTTTAGTTGGTTTCATTCAATGAAATTGATCTTAAAAAAATAGTAATCGCCAGTTATTTCGAATTTTAGTGAAGGCCTTAGCGATGAGCATATTATCTTACACATTTCATTTGGAAGGGAAGTATTTAGAGCAATTCAAAAGGATCTTGCGACAAACGTGTTGGCATTGACAGGTTGTTTATTTTAGTTTAAACAAGTCAAGTGTATCTATCTAACTTTCTTTCTTACCAATTTGGAATATTTTTCAGCAAATCTGGGCGGCATCTACAGGTTTTCTATTCTAATCTATGTGAATAAAATTCAACATTCGTCATAATTAATAATATGGAAAAAAAAATTTCTTTGCAGTTTATTTATTGGCTTCAGTGCGATCACATTTTTTGAAATAGTCTATTACGTATGTGTACGCTCTTATACAAACTACAAAAAACAAGTGCTGCGCCATAAGTCTGAAAATGTGATGCATAAGAAATTATTTAACAATCGAATGTAGTATCAAAAATGTTCGTTTTATTGTTTTTTATAAGTTAAATAAATAAACAAGTGAACAAAGCAAAACAAAAAATATAGATAAATAAATAAATTATTAAAAACTACATGTTACAAGGTAAAATGATCGAAAAAATGTTCATTTTTAATGTGTCGATTTTTAAATTGGCGAATCAGTAGAAATGAAATGTTTAAGAACAGTTAGACTTGTTGATGATTTTTTTTCCTTTGTTGGATTTATATAGACATTCATCGTTGGGTTTGGGATTTTCTTCATTTCTGTAGATTGTTTTTTCGAGTTTCGTTTTCTTTTTTTTTCTTTTAAATTTAATTTAAGCTATAAGTTTGTTGTGGCATTTGTTGACTGTACACGATACTATGTGGATCAGTGTATGTGGCAAGCTGTGGACTTGCATTATACTCTTCATACGTGGTTGGTCGATAATTGCTAGCGCTTGCCGCAGTGTATGCGGCCGTTTGTTTAACAGCAACTGGCCGTTGTTGATTGTAGCTAACATTGATACGATCCGAGTTCGATGTAGCTGGCACATTTTCAGCGGCACCATTATTTTCGATGGGCAATGAACGTTTCCAGTAGCTGCCCGAGCTGCTCGAACCGCCCCAGCTGTCGTCGTGCGAATCTTCGTAGACATGCTGATGATGTGCGTGTTCAATGATGGCAACCTAAACGGCATAGAGGCATAATTGCTATATAAAACCAATTTGGTGAATCGAAGCCAAGAGTAATTTAATCGTTTCATATACGACGATTCGGTGGATGATTATTGTGCACACGTTGAATGAAGGATTTTTTTTTGCAAAATTCCTTCTTCTTTTGATTAATGAACCCATTTGTATTATTTGAAACAAACATTTATATGTTTTTTGCGACAGAAAGATAGAAAAATAAACCTTCAACTTAATCCCAAGCAATTTTAAATCAAGCGACTTGCGTTTCGAATATGCAATATGATGTAAATGTATGAGACAAGTGAAAAAATTTCTTGATTTCTGTACATCGAAATATGAATTCTTAATTTACATTATGCGACCGGTATCATTTTGATCATGAATCGAGAAATTTACAATAAATAACAACAATTCATCGGCACATTCCGAATGTGACTTTCAATGAAAAATGAATATTTAGTGTTTGTTTTTTTTTTTGCTAAAACATTTCTACTCTGGGTTTGGGTTAACGAATTTGGTTTTGGCTATTTTCTTTTTGTACTACTTTTGTGTAGCATTGTTCAATGGTACTCGCATTCGGTCCATCTTCGGTCATTGTATGCATTTTAGTGCATGTTTTTCAATACAAAGTATCTTCTGTGAATCAACCACCTACAATAATTACTCGTGAGTTTTATTACACCAAGTGCATTCTTACATTTAAATGGCTATCGCATATGAATATAGAGTTATGGTTTTGGTAATGCTAGTAGCAGTTGGATCAATGGCATACTAATCTACTTGAATATATGGTATAGTAATGGGTTAAATTTTGAATGTGAATGAATGAATTAATGGTTAACAGTTGAGCCATTGTTAGTTTTGACAATTAGTATGAATGATGTTACAAAATGTGAATTGAAAAAAATGTGTTTGTTTTTTTTGTTGTAGAATTTCAAGTGAAACAGTTGAGTTTTTGGATTCAAGTGTGGCATTTTGGAATCATTGGATCTCTATCAAATTGTATAAAATAGACACTATGCGTACCTTTTGTGGTGTTTGGCCACGTTTCAAATCCACCCAGAATCTGGCGATGTTCACAATCAAACCAATGACAGCAACGACAAAGAATTTGATTTGTAAATGGGTGGCGATGATTTTCAGTAGGAGTTCAATCTTGGCTTTAAGCACAGCACCAATTAAGAGCAATTTCATGAGTGCACGTCTCTTCTTCTTTTTACCTTTGCCCCGTTTTCCTATATCGCCGGAATGAGGTCACAATTTTCGCAATATTAGAAACATTCGATTCGAATCGAAACGTCACTTTCGTGTACAACACACGTATGATTGTTTGTGAGTGAGTGTGTATGTGTATGTTTTGATGCGATCGCAAATCCAAGCCGCGAATAAGCTTTCTTCTTGATACGATGCACACCAATCGACTAATTGATAATGAACTCGGACATTTGTATGATCATTTGGTAGTGTTTCGCGTGCGCGCGAGCACACACATAAAATTACCATGTACGTCCATGACCGAAATAGTAGAAAACTTTTCACTAATGACGCGACCCCATATGCGATCGACACACTCACACATAACAATCAAAAATACAACAAACCAAGCTCAATGTATAAAATATAACGAATCATGCATTAAGCGAACACACATTTAAAAGTTTTCCAAATAAATTCAAACAAAATACGATCAACATTTAAATAAAAGGAAATATGAAAAATATCTACTGGATCACACACAAAAAACACACAAAGAAATCGAAAATAATAACTATAATAAAAACAACACACATCGTTCAATTCAATTATTGAATTGATTTTTAATCACAAATAGAATTTGAGTGCATTCGGGGTGCTCTTAAAACAAGAGAGAGATAAAAGAGAGAGAGAAAGAGAGTGACAGAATAACCAACATAGACAGATAGATAGAAAGAGGAAGAAAATATAGCAATAGTGCTCAGAGAAGCTAATGTTTTTGTTTTATTGTTTTTGCTGTAAATTTTGCTTGCATTTGAAAATGAATCATGCTTTGATTAGTCAACAAGAACGAAATAAAAATAAAAATTGTATAAAAACCATGTGATGATCCCAATTTCGCCAACAATTCAATCGTTTTCAAACCTAAAAAAATAACGAAAACTCAATTTTAACTTTGCAGATGAAGTGAAAATGT